AGGGGAATACACTCCTCTGAAAATTCTGTACATTATATAAGTACTGTCCAGAATGAAGATATTATTATCATTATTAATTCCAAGAGGGAAAATGAAAACGAGAATTAATTTCGATGTGAAGTCATGTGCTGTGCACATTCTCCAACCTAAGATTACATCAATGTTTGTACAAAACAATACACACTACTGATTGATTGAGATGACTAGCCATCTTTGATCATAGGTGCCTGCGTTCTATCTCCCGTGTGAAATGGTATAATAAGGTGAACAATATTGAGGTCAGGCGTCGAGTACTAGGTAAGGAGGGGAAATCAATCAACGAGGCTGTGAAGCTACATAGACTGAGATGGTTAGGACATGTGTTACGCATACCTGCCTAGTCATCATCACCCTCCTCGACGATGGCAATGTTAGCTGATATAGGGTCAGGCTGGAGAAGAGCTAGCGACGGTCAAACGAAAACATGGCTTCATCAGTCAATGAAATCCATAACAGTTAGTTTAAGCCAGTCACGTAGGAAGGTGTGGACTGGCTTCCTGGTTAGGGGCCTCGGGACGGTAAAAACCAATGACAGCTGGAAACAATTGCTGACATGGCTCAAAGTTGTTCTCAATGACAGCGCAGATGCATCCACTCCTTGTGATTTATAATTTCCAATGAAACTATATTGTTATTCGTTATAACTATTCCTTTTGTTTCATATCCCTGTCTACTGTCTTTATTTTGCATTTCTTCTGTTGCTTTGTGTGTACTACACGGAGGGAGTGTGGCGACTTGAACTGCCGCACATATGTGTAAAGTTCTATGTTGAAAACAGATAGACAGGCAAATTGAGATGAGTAGTTGTAAACCACTGACATGAATAAGTAGCGCTCGCTAACAAAATCGAGGCGGACGGCCGTTTCCCTGATTCGGGGTTGAGATCATCGGCAGCCTATCCAGTTTCTTGAATCAGCTGAAGAAGCTGAATCAGTTCAAACTATCTCATTTCTAAATAAAGCAAGAATAACAGTGGTTTGTGCAGAATAATGTAGTACCATCATTTATTTCGTCGGCTTCTCATATCATCGGCTTACAGCTTGCAAATTTTTTATGATGCCAGTTGACAGAATGTTCAGCAATTAGTGAACAGTGCTCAAAAAATTGCGCTTATGTAGTTTTTACACAGGCAGTTCAAGTTTTAACAAAATAAATGTGTGCATTCAATGGCAAAGGAGTTAGGCAATAATGACGAGAGATGCGTAAGATGCTGAGTGACTAATAAATTAGGTAATAGTGTACTGAGTTCAACTCAAATCATAGAAACAAGAAACAAGCAAAATTACACTATGTCAAAGAGGTAATGTTAAAGCCAAAGATTACGTAATGAAATGAAAGAAAGAATACAGACATGTAGTTACCAGGGCAAGGAAAATAGCAAAATAACATCTGAATGGAAATGCAAGTTGGTTGTTGAATAACCCTTCTTTTCATTGAATGAAAATTTAGTCCATGGAATATATTTTTTTGATTAACCTTCTGACGGATAGCTAATAACCATGATGTGGTGGTTGGATTTGTATATAGCAATGACCTAAACAGCTACACTGGTTTGAATGAATTTGCCTCCATGTCAGATTGTTTGGATAGCAGTTATACTATAAAAGCGGTTAACTATCATAGTGTGTAAGTCGTCTAAACTATGTTGGGCGAAGTTGTCCTGTTGAAGGACAGGGGGGGATGTAACATCACTATTGTATTTCCCTCAGACAATCAGAAAACCAGTTGTACTACCTCTCAGCCATGTGGAATGAAGTTAGAAAAGGTCAACCCCAAAACCCTGGGGGAACAGTGGCCGACGGTTATATCTTCATATGGATAAAACTCTAGAAACCAACTCAAATAGGTTATGTGTCACTCACCCTTAACAATGTCTCCCCTGAACTGCGTGTTGACGTAACACTAATACTCCTCCTATTTCGGTCACAAGGCAACAAATGCCCACACATACCTTCTATTAGCCCACAATACTTTCTCCCTTATTATTCAGCAAAGAATTTCGATCTTTGTAAACCTGTTCACGCCTATATTTTTTATTCATTTTACTATCGTTTCATCTAACCTTTTTTTGTTTTATAGTAAAATTTGACTATTTGAAATAATAAAATTCTGTGAAACATTCTACACGCTTCCTTAAGAATTCATTCATTTTGCAATAAGAAACTGTTTACGCCATTCGGATTCTTCTTTTGTTATCGAAGTGTGAAACTTTTATAATAAATAAATAATTTTTCCTTCACGTTCCCAGTGGAACATAGGGCTTCAGGCTGGTGGCTTGAAGTTTCTGTAGCAGTTTTTATTTTACAAGATGGGGTTGCTAGCCTCATGCCCAACCTTTCCTCTTTACCAGCAGCATTATTTCTGGCTTAGCGAGGTAAAGGAGTGAGTCAGCCGGGAATCGAACCCCGGACCATGCGCATGGTCGGCAGGCGTCCTAACCGCTGTGCCACCGACGCAGTGAAATTTTTATAGATCGTACCATTTACAACTGGAGATTTTTAGGCACGTGACAATGGCTGAAAACTGATGCAGAATAAAAGTTGACTCTTATTATAGCTCGAAAAATGAATATTATAACCATCTTTTAGTGATATGCGTTATAAAACAAGACACATAAAAATTATTCACTGGTTTGTTAACAGAAAACTGGCGCCGTTATTCAGTGTTCATAGAATTCAGTAGTTGAAACAACAATCAGAAGTTAAACTGTTTTCAAAACAGTTAGGGAAACAGAGAAATAATTGAATAGTCTCACTTAATAAAAGACAGTATCAGGGAGAAGTTAAGAAAGCGACGTCACAAAGACGATCAGCGTGGAAAACTAATCCTTACAAACCAGATATAGAGAGTTAATCTGATGCTCACTAGTGATTTGTCACAGGACGGAGTTTCCTGAAGTTCTAGTGAGACGTCGTGAGATCCATCCAGATGTTACGTGTGAGGATGGATGTCTCACCGATGATATTGGTTGGTGGTCGCGCTAAAAATCACGAATTGGTAGAATTCAGAATTCATGGAATGATCATTAAATCAGGTCCCAGTGGCTTAAATGGTATACGAGCTTGTCTGGTAACCGGAAGGTCCTGGATTCGAACCCGAGTGGGTGCATACTACGGATGATTCCCAGAACTAGGATAAAACAGTTGTCCAGTACTCCCTAATTTTCAATGATTCTTCAAGTGATATCAATCCGTGATCAACTCGTAAAAAACAAAACTAATCCTTACAAACCAACTATAGAAAATTAGATAAATACATCAAATTCTATCTACCATGACATACATTTTCAAAGGCTTCTTACCAACCAAAATAGTAAGGTTATAGTTGCCAGTGATTGATGTAATCAGTTGAATATCACTCACGTCAAGAAGTAGTGCTTATTGGTTAGATTGAATTGAGATAAACACTCGATGATCTATTGAATGGAATGCGACCGGATAAACTCAGCTAGGATGACCACAGAAAACCGTGATAGAATTCTATTCTATAGAATTATTTAGGAGTAGTGAATTTAATACCACTTATTGCCAATCAGCCAATGTAGCTAACTGAAATTCGGACGATCCCGCCATATGAATTGACTACGTCCAGTAACACTGCTGATGTGCTCCATTAAGAACGACTACCAAGCACTTCTGGGTGGTATGAGCCGTTTTCAATTATTTATATCAATCAATGGTGCATATCATCTTCCTATTCTGATTCCTGTCTTTATTGCGAATTATGATATCAAGAAAATGATATTTTGGGATCTGAACATTTTGAGTTCTGATTAGAACATAGGGCTTCGAACTTGGGAGTTTTACTAGCGCTGGTGTTACTTCTTTTTACAGGATGAATATATCAGCCTTACATCCAACCCGCAATGTTGTCAAAGGTTACTATCGTCTAGTAAACTAGATGAAGTGTAGGAACGCGTCAGCAAGTAATCGAACTTAAGACCACGTCCCTGATTGGTGAGAACGTATTGATTGAGATAGATTGTAACACATATATATATTGATAATCACAAACAGGTGAACATTGTCCAAGGAGCTCCCGCGTGACTGGGAAGTCCAGGTTGAACTCCCAGCAGACTCACTACAAAACCTCGCATACACAACAGTAGATCTGGAAAAGAAGGAAGGCTGGGCGTAAGGCTATTTAAACCCCAACCTGTAAGCATATAACACCAACTGTACTGAAACTTCAGAGTTTGATGCAGTATTGTACTCCCCTGGGGAAAAAAAGTGAAATTTCTAACTGGCGAGTTCAGTTATTTGTCGGGCATTCATTTGACAATATTACCTGAATTCAATATGTACTCACAGTTTGACTCAGTTCACAGATGGCCACCCGATTTCTGGCTAGTTACTTTGGCGAACTGATGATAATGCATTCAATCAAAGATGTGTATATCCCACTTGTTTTCATTCTTCAGAAGACTTGCAGTAAGCACTACGTTGATTTCATCAACAGTATCGCCTTAGAAGAATGAATTACGCACATAGGAATCAGACTAAGTGAGTGGCTTACTAAGAAAAGTTGAAAAGGCAGATGCTAAAACAGAAGAGAAAGGGTAGTGTATGCTACTGACAAAAATTTATAAGTAGTATATAGTGGTCAATAGTTTCTGCAAGAATCTTGAATAGTGTAGCAACAAATCAGGTTTCAAAAAGAGGAGAAATGAAGATTCTTTTGAAACAGTACAGAAACCGAAAGAAGCAAAAGACAAACAACTTTTGCATGGTGAACTTTTAATGAAGAGTTTCTGTGTTCTGCCATTAGAATACGTCAACGTTTCTACCAAATACCATTGCATTCCATCATTGAAAAATTATCTATGGCACATGAATGTCACAAACTGGATAAACTTTAGTTTTTGAATTCTCAGTAGATCCCTCCTTCACAAAAGGTAAACAGACTCGTAACTCAAGACGAAAAAACAACATAAAATCATCAGTAAAAATCAACACACTTACTCAGTGAATTCATCAACCCTGGTTCTACTTCAAATAATCCACTGGTACGTTTATTCAATGCGATTTCACTAGCCCATCTAGCACGACGATATCGCAAATGATTAGGTGATGTCAACGCTGTCGACTCAATTATATCATGTGGTGAATGTTGTTGTTGTTGATTTGATGCAGGATTTGATAGATTCAAAGGTTGTGGATTATATTTACACGCTAGTGGAGAACGTCTAGCAACATTGGTAATAACTGGCAATGGGTTATTTGTTGTTGGACTAACAGATAAGTAGATATTAGGACCTTTAGAAAGTAACAACAAAAAAGATATCAAGGAAGTGTAAAATGAATTTGAGAGCTTTCACTGTGAAACACACACACACACTTTAAAAGTCAACTTTTACGAAGTATGAATTCTTGTTTTTGACGTCTTTGCAAGAATGATGTTGTAATATCGATAACAAAATGAAAATTACTAATTACGTACAGACAAATAAACTCAGTTATTACGTAACGTCAATATGTAAATTTTTTATGGTGCTGTCTGACTATATATACACAGTGCGAACCAAATAGCCTTTACAAAGCAGTGATTCCATCAGATGACGAGAAAGCCAGCTATGCTGTTTCTCCGCTTTGGGGATAGCGGTGCGGGTAGAAGTGGTGTACATCTCGCTCTAATCTCTGGAGGTTCGTAGACAACAGTGACATCTTCATATCGACACAACACCAAAAACAACTTCAGAAAGGCCACATAACACTGACGCTCATTCTGTTTCAGATATTACAAAAAGTAAAAAAAAAACCTCCACGGCGTGGGGCACCTGGCAGCTAACAACCATCAACCCCACAAATTTCAGCCTTCCTGAACATGATTAAGAAGAGGTCTCGTCTAAACATAGATAAAAGTGAGTCAAATAATAGGCTTCTTTACTAACCAACATGTTAGAGAATCATTAAAAACCACAGAGCATTGGACAGGTGTTTCGTCCTAATCTTCCGCTCTTCAGCAATAGGCAACCTGAAGCCTACTATGGATGGAACCCAGGGGTTATATATCAGTTAAAAATGAATGGAATGAGTCAAGTACTTAGATTTTTCCACTTTACAAAGTGCAGTATGTATAAGCACATTTGAGAGAGGTATTTTGAGATCAATACCATGCGAAATAGTATCAAAGAAGATGTCATATCGGATTTTGTAAGCTCTGGCAAGGTAAACGCACAACAGTGAACAGCGTGACATTGCTGCTAGTAGGGAAGGGACTATTAGTGATCTTTAATTAGTTCAATGAAAATACCTTTTGCAAGACAAGATGAACTCATTTAATAAAAAGCAATAAGGAGACGTAATTTATCTGAATTGTGTAATCTATTTGCCCAACATATCTCAAACAATCTGATCACATACGGACTTCTCATAGGAATATATATGAAATTAATAAAAAGTTAAGAGGTGAGCAAATAGACTGAGGTAAAGCTAAAACGACATATTCAAGGTCAAAGTACCAATGGCAATCACTAAACAAATAAGACAGGTAATGATACATCTATTCTGACTGGTATTAAAACAAAGTTTACCAAGGAAGGTTTAATGTGATGACGAGATGTTTCTGAACCCATAAAAGTGGTCTCAACTTCTTAATTGCTAGCTAGAGCTTCCACAAACTATAGGAAATGCCTTCCCTCAAAAACATTTTATAGATAGGTTTGAAAAATTGTGTAGAAACATGAATTTTATGTCCTGTCTCCTCTGTAATATGTTTCGCAATAGAGGGGCTAGGTCGTCTGTTCTCACCATTAATGGCTTGTCAGGACTCTGTTTGCTTTTGAAGGCATTTAGGAATATGCTCTGAAGCCAGCCCTTACTTGCAGAGATCGATGAGTCCTCCATACATATTCCTATGACAAGTTAGTGTGTGATCAGATTGTTCCAATTGTGTTGCGCGAAAACATTACACGATTCAGACGAATTACGTCTTCTTATTGCTTTGTATAAATTCATTCAAGGAACTAAGTGTTTCAAATTCTTTTTATTTCATAGAATCTTCATCAGCTGCATACAACAGCCTGAATAATAATAAACTGTATAATCAATAATTGTGAAATAAGTGTGAAGAGGGTGTGAAAATGTACAGAAGGAACATATGAGAGTGATAATAGTGAATTGATTATTAAACCAAAAGTAAACTAGAATGCAAGACAGTTACTACTTCAATTCTTGAGCACTTGGTGAACTCAGGCCACGCAGCTCCACCAGAGTCATCTTTCAAGATCATCTACAAGGTGAGGGTAAATGGTACAAAGGCGTCAGATTTCGGCTTTTGTGTATGGCGGAGGCACTGGCAATTCGTCAATACAACCCTGACCTCTGAATACAGAAAACGTCTGTCCAGTCTCCTATTCTACCTTGGTCTTAACCTCTTCACTAGTCGCTCCCTGTAAAACAAATTTTGATTTTTTTCTTTTCCTTTTTTTAATTTTTAATTTTACTTTTAGTTTGCTTTAATAATTAATTGTGAAATAATTTAAACATACTTTAACTATGAATAGTCAGTCCATTTTATAAGAGAGTCGAATGACAACATGCCGAATAAATGGAGACAAGGTACAAAGTATACCAGCAAGTTAGAATAGTGAATTATAACTAAATCAGAAACCTTATGTGTATTGTACATTGAAAAATATCCTGAAATTTTCAGGGTATTTCACGCGTAACCGTAGACAGTTATTCAACCGAAATGAAAGAGGTCAAGGACACAAGGATATTAAAAAATTAGTAAGGAAACAAATGTTACACACACAAGAAAACATAAAGTAAAATGAAGTTTCAACAAGTTAAAGTGTGAAAGAATCAGTGCTTACTACAATAGCAAAAAGTTAGTAATAGTCTCTTTTTGCACAAATAATTCAGCTTTCATTCTCCAGATGGTCATAGCTTCAACATATCGAAGTAGTATTGAAGTGTTCTACCTGTTCAACACCTTAAAAAATATCTACAATGTTGATTTGGTTTCCTGTATCTCAACTAAGTGCTGAGCTATGGGGCTCTGTTAAATGCTGCTGAGCTTCTAAGACGTAGACGTTTGGGCACATGTTCAAAACCCCTTGTAGATAACCATTTCTCAGTGCTTCCAACGTGCTTACTATCGCACTTACATGCAAATACATGTATCTGCGGGAGCAATTACATTGGAAGAACAGAAAGAAGGGTACATTTACGATTTTCTGAACATGTACCAAAAAGCCTATGTCCAAATGGAACAAATGAGGTGGACGTCATAAGATCGTTCAAAATTATCAATAGGCAAGAGAGTTCAATTCTCCTAAAGTTTGCCAAAGCAATCTGCATCAAGTGGCTGAAACCTAATTTATGCGTTTATAAAGAAGCGGTTATCAGTCTTTTCTTGCTCTACCTGGTAACTGAATGTTTTCACTCTCTCTTTCACCTGATTACGTAATGCTGGAAGTTTCCATAATGCATGATCATTATTGTTTGGGATAAAGTGTTTATTATTGCTATGTATATTATTATTATTATTATTATTACTGTGTGCATATACTGATTGATTGATTTTTGTTTAAAAATGTACTCTGTGCAAGTATGTTAAAATTATTTCTGTACATATAATTAATAATGACTTTAGACTGTAAGCAGATGATGAGAAGCCAACGAAATAAACAATGATGGTACCATTTTATTTTATTGTTCTTGCTTTATTCAAACTCGGTTGGTGCTAACGACGGTAAACAATTTGTCTAATTTTGACTGTGTAACAAGTCGTTTTATACAGAAGGATTAGTTTAGTGGCTGAGTACTTTCGTTGATATTGCATCTTTTATTTGCATAATAATTCTTTCTCTAATTTCATCACCTGTAAATCCTTATTTGAGGAATTCTGGTATTCTTCCTCTGCCTTCCTCATGTCGCGTTTATTGAACTTCTCTATGAGTCGCTTGGGATATCCAATGGTCTTTACGCATTCATTAATGAAATTGGCTTCTTTTTCTAGTGTTTCTTTGGAAAACAAAGCTTTACTGCTCTCTTTGATAGAGAGTTCTAACCAAACCTTTTTTGTAGCTTACGGGACAGAAGCTGTTGGAGCGTAGATATTGATCACTCCAGGTTGTTTTGCGGTGAATGCTTCTTTCACAATTGTTTTCCCTTCTCTTCTGCTCTCTTCGTGTATAAGGCAATAAAATGTAGTTGTTTGTTGACTTCTTGCTCCAACGCCAGCCTGATGTCTAAATGGTTATTGTTAAACCTTCATAGCAGTCATTCTACGTGAAAAGTGTTCTCACATTTGACAAATGTATGACCTATATACTGTGAATAAAACATACTTGCTGTGATTGTAGATTTCAAGGTAGCACTTTCTAGATGGAACATGAAGATACCCGTCATTATTAGACGCAACAGGCTCATCATTGCTACTCCATCCACTTGTCAATATAACACGTTATTAAATTGCATATCTCTGGTACACAGAACCAGGAAACGCTTCATAACAGACATCGGTAATGGGATATGCTTTACAGTATTGACAGATAATATTTATTGTTACCTGAAGATGAATGCTTCTAAACAAGGATTTCATGAATTTGTTGGATATATTAATTTGTTCCATTCTTTTCATAAAATCGAATAATTCTTTTAAGTTATGTTTGGATAACTTTTCCCGAACATTTTCTAGCCACCGTGGTAACCAACGAAAAAGTTTATGGTTGGGGGGATTCACCATAGATATGATGTGACTTTATTTTGTACCAGAGAAACTTTTGGACTATAGAGCTACATGAAAGCACTGTCGAAGTAATTTTGTACTTTTGATATGAGTAATTATCGTTCACCAGCACCACAGATTCTGTCTATTGTTGGGATATAATTTTTGACTATGTTTCATTCATGGAAATTCGGCAAAATATACAGAAGAACGTATTGATCGGTTTCATGCGATCAGACCCAAAAAGCTTAAGATTTAATCTTTCTATAGTTTGGTTTGTAAGGATTAGTTATGTTTTACGAGTTGATCACGGATTGATATCAGTTAGAGAACCATTGAAAACCAGGGAGTACTGGACAGCAGCTGTTTCATCCTAGTTTGGGAATCATCGGCTTGCCTTGTAACCGGAAGGTCCTGGGTTCGAAACCCAGTGGGTGCGTACTGCCGATGATTCCCAAACTAGGATGAAACAGCAGCTGTCCAGTACTCCCTGGTTTTCAATGGTTCTCTAACTGATATCAATCCGTGATCAACTCGTAAGATTTAATCATTACATTACCTACTACCATATTAACCAAGT